ATGTGAAAAATTTTGAAAATAGAAGCAATTTTGTAAATTGTTCATTTTTATTTTGTTTACTGACGAAACTCCATATTTTATGAACACCCAGAACGTAATCGTAATCTAAAGAGGTTTGAAAATCCCTTTGATAAACACTTGGTATTCAGTAGGCTACAGAGAAGTCTGAACAATACCGTAGTGTTAATTGTCACAGATAGTTAATGTGTCACGGGGAGTAAATTAGCCCAGATAAAAACCTTTCTCAGTGGGACATCCGACATCCGGTCACCCGTAGACCGGAAGTGTTCGCGGCGGGTTGCGTTAATGTTAATGATACCAACCCTTTATTTGCATGAAAAACGTCCGAGACATAATTCTGCCCTCATACACACTTGTACGTGTTAATAGAGTTAAAGGAAAAGTCCGATGATTTGTCGTCCTATAAAATGATGCAGAAGTTAAAACCGTATGGAACCATAAAAAAGAAGTTTAATCTAAGTTTTGAAATTATTACTTTAAATTTAGCAATACAAATTTTCAACTGCATAACAGACAATTTGTACAGGCCTCTTTTGGAAGTGAATAAATTAAATTTGGTGGGTGGGGTTGAAACTTATTGGTCTACACAACCCGTAAACTTTTAGAATCATTCTAAATATATAACTATACACGTTGGTACACTAGAACAAATAGAAAAATTGAGTGGTAGGCCTATCGAGCAGTATTTAAAGGAAGTAGGCCTATTCGTTGTTATATAGGCCTATACATATTATTCAAATGGCAAATGTTGCATACCCCCTAAGGTAAAAATATAAATACTGTATATAAATATGAATTTGAACGGATGGTGTATTCGGCCTCTGGGGACATCAAAAGCAAAAAGAATATAAGTCCCGATCAAGGTTAAAAAAAGAAAAACTCATAGAAAGGCGAAAGAAATCTATGACTAAACCAAATCATATGACAATGCCCATTTCATGTACATGTTCAACGGTAAATAAATCATTTCATTTTAAGAAGAAAACATGGCCTGGGAGAATGAAGAGCAGGATCTCCCAAACCCTGTTAGCCGCCTCTTACGATAAACCGAGGAAGATCGGTGTTCCATCCCGGGAAACCATACGGAGAAATTAATATCCTAGTCCAGGCTTCAAAATATAAACAAAAAAATATTTATACCCTAGAGATATTGAAGTAATAAAAACCTAACATAACAAATATAGTGGGTGTATTATAAAGCTTACAATACAATTTGTGTTATGAGCACACACAAATTAGAGATTGCGTGTTTTAAATCATTGGACTTTCGAACCGGATTGGATTATAATATTAATGTTCATCCAGGAGAATGGATCAGTAGTTGGTTGGTCATATAATGGTGTGAATATTATAAATTATCATTATTAATAATATCATCGCGTCCTCAAACTCATAGCATTCGTTGTTTCAAAATGTGATGATCGACTTAATGTGATTTCTGGTTTCACAGAAACATTCAGTCATTAATTTCTAGTAACTAAATGATTCAGTGAGGATACATGTAGATTAAAGCCTATCGTGAACATTTGAAGAAAAATTGACTTCATAAACCATAATTGCCTATTTAAAACAACTGGATATGGTCCTAATATCTAACGTTGAGGTTGTTAATCGGGGTTTTCCTCATACTCTGCCCCTGCTAAATCATATAGTAAGACTTCAACCCCCGCGTCAGAACGGGAATGGTGGTGGCAAGACGCGGTGAAGATAAGAAGTGATAGGGATTAGATAAGCTGCTGGAGCAGACCTAATCTACTGCTGCAACTGTTGCGGGGAGATTAACATACCGCAAACGCGGGAATTGAATCTTACAACCGGCGGCGGGCCCTCCAGGGGTGTGAATATTATGTGTCAGTTTGTAATGAAACATAGGCGTTCTTATAAACAACAATTTGTGGTTGTTAATTAAAGACAAACCGCCTTCTAGAATGAGAGTTAGAGTGTGGTTTTCTACTACCCTGACACCTGTGGGAAGATTATGTGTTACCGATTAACAAAAAGTTAGAGTCTTTCGCAGACTACCACAGTATTTTTTTTTAGATCAAGCTTAAACTATACTGAGATTTACACATATCTCAATCACGACAGATTTATCAGATTAAGCTTAAAGGTATCGCAACATATACTATTTTTACTGATCACCCAATAACAACAAGAATCCTAGTCAAATTTCAGATTGGGTCAAAGATGACCTAAGGCTTCCCACCTACTTTATATTAAAAATCAAACCTTTAACTAGGAGTTAGGTTGATGTTTAAAAAATTGGGTACTTTCCCAAAGCTACCTAAAGCACACCTAACACACTTCAATTAGGCCCCTACCGTAAAACAAAACAAAATATTCAGTAAGTCTAAAACCGCTATCAAAGTCTTCATGAAATCGACAATTTTACCTCAAAATATATTTGCACCTCCATAATATTTTCATTTAATTCCACCTAAGTTAAAAACACAAAATATTAGGTTACAAATAATAACTTTGAACAAGGTGTTAAATAGGCAAGGGTACCGTGCATGGATTCGGATGTGTATTTCCTACAAGAATATTGTATGTTTCTTCGGGGTTCTCAAGAAAAGTTTTAAACTAAGCCATTAAAACTATCATATGTGAAATTCTATGAATAAGCTTCGTTTGCAAACGATTTAAACCGCCACAAAAAACGCATCTTTATTAGTCGCAAAGCACTCAAGAATTGATCGTCACTCAGTTACTTTATGTGAAAATATTTTTTGGTTTAAATTGATTATGAAATACATAAGGTAACGAATAACTTTCACAGATTATTAATTGAAACCACTACATAGATCAAATTACCGATTAGTCCCAAAAAATTAAATATCTTTACTCATTGCTTACTTTACCTTAAAATATATTTTACACTTCTGTCAAAGGTGATACTCCATTCATACAAAATTTTAATTAGATCGGGATATTGTTCCACATACAACATAGCCAAGGGTACTTGATCGCCAGAACCGATGGGCCACACACGCTAGCTAGTGCGAAGGGCTCTAAGAGGAAGAGGGGGGGCTTTGATTGACAGCTGGCTGCACCAATCACGTGCCAGCTTGCTGATGAGGCTCGCACGTCAATCATCCGACACAGCAGCCATCTTTTTAACGCCAAATTATACCAAAACCCCACAAGCTTGTCCTGCAATGCGTCATATGCAAGTGCAGCCGAGTATTTGCATCGCGGTCCAATTTGCATTTCAGAATCTCCTCCACAGGGGCTTAACGTTGAAATGATTACAATTTTGAGTGTCTAATGAATATTTAATATTTTTTACTTATGTTGCTTGTGACCGTATTGTGACCGTAGATTAAAACAGTGTAGTTAATTGAGGATGGATTGACTTTAAATTTGATTATAATAATGCATTTTTTTATTATATATAATTTCTCAAAAATAAATTAACCACAGTCTGACCCACATCTGTTTTTAAATGTTCAATGGTATTTTAGGGTGTATACAACAGTCATTTAGTCCTCAATTTGGCGAATACTTTAAAAGTTCCTCTAGAATTAAAAAAAAAAATGTTTTACTGTCTTTTCCACACAAAAAAGACTCATAATTCTTCATCTGCTAAAAATGTATAGTTATTGAAAAAGGTAAAATACCTACTATTAGACGAAGACAAAAAATGCAAA